TTTTTTTTGAGACAGTCTTGCTCTGTTGCCCAGGCTGGAGTGCAGCAGTGCAATCCCTGCGCCTGGCTAATTTTTGCGTTTTTAGTAGAGATGGGGTTTCACCATGTTGGCCAGACTGGTCTCAAACTCCTGACCTCAAGTGATCCTCCTGCCTCGGCCTCCCCAAGTGCTGGGATTACAGTGAGACACCATGTCCAGCCTTGTTTTATTTCCTCATTTTGTTTTGCTTCATTTTATTATTTCTCGTTTCTCTCTCTCTCTCTTTTAAAACAGAGGTCCTGAGGCGTGTGTTCAACTGGCTTGGGTTCAGAGTGTGCACATACAATAATGTGACAAGGGGGCACATGGAGAAGGTCCTGCAGGAGCAGAAGTGCAATCCAGACCATGTCAACGGGGACTGCTTTGTGTTCTGTATTCTGACCCATGGGAAATTTGGAGCTGTCTACTCTTCAGATGAGGCCCTCATTCCCATTCGGGAGATCATGTCTCACTTCACAGCCCTGCAGTGCCCTGGACTGGCTGAAAAACCTAAACTCTTTTTCATCCAAGCCTGCCAGGGTGATGAGATACAGCCTTCTGTCTCCATTGAAGCAGATGCTCTGAACCCTGAGCAGCAGCCAGCTTCCCTGCAGGGAATACTGCAGGACAGTATTCCCGTTGAGGCTGACTTCCTGCTTGGTCTGGCCACTGTCCCAGGCTATGTATCCTTTCGGGATGTGCAGGAAGGCAGCTGGTATATTCAGTCTCTGTGTAATCGTCTGAAAACATTGGTCCCAAGGTGAGAGCTCTTTTATTCTTCCATTTTTAATTATTTTTATTTATTTATTTATTTTACTCTCAATCAACACCTTTGGTAAGGGTGAGAGTTCTAAATGTTTTCATCTATGAACCTGTTCATCCATCTGCCTACCTTCCTGTTTATCTGTTTATCCATTTATCCACCCATGTATCCATCCATCCATCCATCCATCCACCCACCCAACAACCTCGTATTGAGTACCAGCATGGATCTGGAAAGAAAGATACAGAATTAAAAAAAGACAGAGTTCTTGCCCTCAGGTTGCTTACAAGCTAGAAGGATAGACAAACGAATAGACAGGGAAGGGCATCCCCAGCTGGTAAGTGCACATTGTGAAGTATAGGTGTTAATGAGAACACGCAGGATGAGTACCTTGCCCAGATTTGAAGGATCAGAGGAGGCTTCTAGAAATAACAAATAGATGTTAGGCAAAAATCAGGTGAGAGATGTGCTGGGCAGAGGGAATAGCATGGACAAAAGCATGGGGGCCTTTTATTTGTTCCTTTGTTTATTTATCTGTCCTGAGCACCTATGTGCTGTCTTTGGCATTCTCTTTGCCACTGCTCTGACAGCTTCCCTTCTGTCTCTGCCACATGCTACCCTCCTGACAGCTTGAGCTGTACCTAGAGGCCACGGGTGCCTCCATGAAAATATCTCCAAAGTTGCCATCTCTGGCCCACTCATCTCTGAATTCTTGGGGGGCAGAGACCCTGTTTTATTCAACTTTATAACCTCAGCCCCTGACCTGATATTTTGCGAACTTGAGAAATATTTTCTGGGCCAATGAATGACATGCCTGAGCCCATCTCATTAACAGCTCACTAGATATCCTACCTCTGTTTAGCCCTTGGACCTTACATTCAGCATGCCATGTTTCTAAGCTTATCTTCCCAGCCTTCTCCAGGAGCTCCTACTCCTGAATTCCCATTTGGAGGAATGGCCATAGTGCTCTTCTGGGAATTCAGGATTGGAGCCTTGAGTCAACTTTGCTTTTCTCTCTTCTTTACCCGCCCCTCCATCTCTACCACAGACATCAGAGGTTAATGTCTATGGCTTCAGGAACAAGGCAATATTTATTGAGGGCATACTATGTGCTTACTGTACTGGGTACTGAACTGGGGGCTGGGGATGCAGCCTATGTACAAGAGAGACAAAATCTGCTCTCCAGGGAGCTAAAAGTCCAGTGAAGGAAAGACAGATAATAAAAATGTAAGTGAATATTTAAATTATTATTATTTTAAAAATTCAACAGTATTCAAAGGAGACAGTATACATGCATGATTAAGCAATGCCTGTTTTTTTTGGTATTCCAGAAATTTCTTTGTTATTTTTAATTGATACTTCATAATTGTACAAATTTCGGGGATATAATTTGATGTTTCAATACATATATGTGTTATATAATGATCAAATCAGGGTAGGTAGTGTATCCATCACTTCATGCATGTATCATTTTTTGGTGGTGAGAACCTCTAAAAGCCTCTTTTCTAGCTATTTTATAATATATAACACCTTATTTATTGATTGATTTAGATATGGGATCTCACCCTATTGCCCAGGCTGGTCTTGAACTCCTGGGCTCAAGCAATCCTCCTGACTTAGCCTTGTAAGTAACTAGGATTATAAGCTCTACCCACTGTGCCCAGCTCAGAATGCCTTGCTGTTAACCATAGTCACCCCACTGTGCAATAGACACCCGAGGTTATTCCTCCTAATTGTAACTTTACCCATTGACTAACCTCTCATCTTCCCTCCCCTCCTCCCTCTCTCATCTCCATAATGGCTGTTCTACTCCCTGCTTCTATGACATCAACTTTTAAAACAAAGATTCCACATGAGTGAGAACATGTAGGTTTTTTTCTGTGTCTGGCTTATTTTACTTAACATGATGTTCTCTGGGTTCATTCACGTTGTCAGAAATGTCAGGATTTTATCTTTTTTATGGCTGAATGGTATTCCATCGTGTATGAACATCACATTTTCTTGATCCATATATCCATTTTTGGACCCTTACGTTGATTCCGTATCTTAGCTATTGTAAATAATGCTGCAGTAAACAGGGGAGTGCAGATCTCTTTGATATATTGATTGCATTTCCTTAGACTATATACTTAGTATGGAGATTGCTGGATCATGTGGTATTTTTATTTTTAATTTTTTGAGGAACTGGCATACTGTTTTCCATAATGGCTTACTAAGTAAGTAAGTGTTCCCTTTTCTCCAGATCCTTGCCAACATGTGTTTTGTTCGTTTTTTGTTTCTTTGATAATAGTTATTCTAATTTGAACAAAGTGGCATCTCACTGTGTTTGTTTGTTTGTTTGTTTTTGAGACAAGGTCTCACTCTGTCACCTAGGCTGGAGTGCAGTGGCGCAATCTTCGCTTATCGCAGCCTCTGCCTCCCAGGTTTAAGCAATTCTCCTGCCTCAGCCTCCTAAATACCTGGGATTACAGGCATGCACCACCATGCCTGGCTAATTTTTGTATTTTTAGTAGAGACAGGGTTTTACCGCATTGGCCAGGCTGGTCTTGAACTCCTGAGCTCAAGCGATCCGCCCACCTCGGCCTCCCAAAGTGCTGATATTACAGGCCTGTGCCACTTTGCCTGGCTGTCACTGTGGTTTTGATTTGCATTTCCCTGATGATTAGCGATGTTGAACATTTTTTCCTGTACCTGTGGAGCATTTGTATGTCTTCTTTTGAGAAATGTCTATTAAAGTCTTTTACCCATTTTTAAATAGGGTTATAATTATTATGTTTTTTTCCGTTGAGTTGTTTAAGTTTCTTATATATTCTGGATATTAACCCCTTGTGAGGTTAATATCCAGATAGTTTGCAAGTTTTTTTTTTTTTTTTTTCCATTTTGTAGATTGTCTCTTCACTCTGGTTTTTCTTTTCTGTGCAAAAGAGTTTTAATTTGATGTAATCCTGTTTATCTATTTTTGCTTTTGTTGTCTGTGCTTTTGAGGTCTTACTTTAAAACTCCTTACCCAACCCAATGTCATGATATGTTTGGCCTATGTTTTCTTCCAGTAGCATCATAGTTTCAGGTTTTATATTTTAGTCTTATACATTTTAAGTTGGTTTTTGTATACGATGTTGAGAGAGAAGTATTTAGTTTCATTTTTCTGCATATGAATGTCCAATTTTCCCAGCACCATTTTTTGATAGGATTCTCTCTTACCCATTGTGTGTTCTTGGCACCGTTGTCAAAAATCAGTTGGCTTTAGGTGTGTAAATTTATTTCTGGGGTCTCTATTCTGTTCCATTGATCTATGTGTCTGTTTTTATGCCAGTACCATGCTGTTTTGGGAACTTTAGTTTTGTAGTATATTTTGAAGTCAGGCAGTGTGACGCCTCCAGCTTGTCGTTTTTGCTCAGCATGCTTTCACTATTTGGGGTCTTTTCGGTTCCATATACATTAAAGGCTTCCTTTTTCCTATTTCTGTGAAGAATGTAATTTTTTTGTTTGTTTTTGCTTTGTTTTGTTGTAGAGACAGGGTCTTGCTGTGTTGTCCAGGCTAGACTTGAACTCCCAGGCTCAAGCAATCCTCCCACCTCATGCTCCTGAGTAGCTAGGATTACAAGCATTTGCCATTGCACTTAGTTTATCACTGGTATCTTGATAGGGACTGCATTAAGTCTGTAGATCCCCTTGGGTAGTATGGTCATTGTAACAAGATTAATTCTTCCAACCCATGAACACAAGATATTGTTCCATTTGTTTGTGTCCTTTTCACTTTCTTTCATCAATGTTTTATAGTTTTCAGTGTTTAATATCTAAATTAATGAGACTTTAATGATTTTAGGTAATTATTAATTATTTAATATTAATTTAAATGACATTTAAATTAACAAGAAAAAACTTTGCTAGGTGTGGTGGCATGTACTTGTAGTCCTAGCTATTAGGGAGTCTGAAGTGGGAGGATTGCTTAGGCCCAGAAGTTTGAGGCTATAGTGAGTTGTGATCACACTACTGCACTCTAGCCTGGGCAACAGAGTGAGATCCTATCTCTAAAAAAAAGAAACAATTTCAGGAAGTGATACCTGCCATGAACAAATCAAAACAGGATAATGATAGCTTCTTGGCGGAGGTAATATTTCAGGTGAGACTAAGTGATAAGAAGGAACCAGACACAGGAAGGTTTGGGAATAGAGGGCAGGTACAAAGCAAGATGTGGGGATTAAGAACAGGTCAGGACCCGTATCCACTACCTGAAAAACAGTGATGGTGAGGATGAGGGGATGAGAGTAGTCATACTTGTTCTAAAAATAATAGTCAGCAGAACAGTGTAGCCAGTGTTCTAAGTGCTTTACTGATATACATTCTTTAATTCTCCTGGCAACTCCTAAGATGGGGACTGTTATGGTCCCTATTTTAGAGCTGGGAAAACTGAGGCACGGAGCAGTGAGTAACCAGCCTAAGACCACACAATGAATGAGCGATGGAGCCACAATTCAAAATTGAACCTGTCTTCAGAACCTGTGCTTGCTTCCAGTGATATGTATTGGCCACCCTGAGAATGTTCTGCTAAATGCTGTATGTCTTGCAAGCCCAGGCTTAAATGCTACCACCTGCATAAAGCCTTCTCTCTCCCTCCCAACCAGAAGTGTGTTCTCCTCTGAACTTGCAGTGGAACCTTGACCTTTCATTTGGTGTTGACCACACTCTGCCTTGTGTTATGAATATTGTGTATATGCCATCCTTGGTAAATGTTTTATATCTGCATTCTAAGTGTTTAACTCCAGGAATTGTATCATGTTTATTTTTGGATCTCTCCCAAGACTACGGATAGGGCATTGTTGGTATCTGTGGTATCTGCTGCAGATTTATTGATCTAAGACCTGGTACATATTACCTAGTGTCTTTTCTAAGACCTGGTGTGTGGTTTCCACCTCCTGATTGAAAAAAATTTTCTTCTCTGAACCAGGCATAGTAGCTCATGCCTGTAATCCCAGCACTTTGGGGGGCTGAGGTAGGCAGGTCACCTTGGGTCAGGGGTTCGAGACCAGCCTGGGCAAGCAATATGGTGGAACTCTGTCTTTACTAACTGGCTGAGTGTGGTGGCGGGCACCTTTAATCCCAGCTACTTGGGAGACTGAGGCATGAGAATCACTTGAATCTAGGAGATGGAGGCTACAGTGAACCTAGATCACACTATTGCACTCCAGCCTGGGCGACAGAGTGAGACTTTGTTAAAAAAATTTTTTTTCTTCTCTGTTGCAGACGTGAAGACATCTTATCCATCCTCACTGCTGTCAACAATGATGTGAGTCGACGAGCAGACAAACAGGGAACAAAGAAACAGATGCCCCAGCCTGCTTTCACACTAAGGAAAAAACTCATATTCCCTGTGCCCCTGGATGCGCTTTCATTATAGCAGAGAGTTTTTGTTGGTTCTTAGACTTCAAATGAATTATTGGCTCCAACCTCCTGCCCAGCACAGAAATTGGTGGTCTTCACCTGTCATTCTAGAAACAGGAAACACCCTGTTTTCTGACACAGTCAATTCTGTTTTTTCTTTTTCTTTTGATAAGTCTAAATGTTAGAAAACTTACTTTTTTACTTTCTTTTTTTTGGAGACAGTCTCACTCTTGTCACCCAGACTGGAGTACAGTGGGGCAATCACAGGTCACTGTAGTCTTGACCTCCCGGGCTCAAGCTATCCTCCCACCTCAGCTTCCCAAGTAGTTGGGACTACAGATGTATATCACCATGGCCGGCTACTTTTTATTCTTTATTTTATGTAGAAATGGAGGTGTCTCACTTTGTTGCACAGGCTGGTCTCAAACTCCTGGGCTCAAGTGATCCTCCCACCTCCACCCCCAAAATGCTGGGTTTATAGGCATGAGCCACCATGCCTGGCCAGAAAACTTTGATTATTGAAGACTTGGATTGTAGCCTTGGTTTTGGATGTGTACCCTGAAGAGAGAGTAATTGGCCTTGGTTTGTGTAGGTAGTGTGTTTTTGAGACAGAGTCACTTCATCACCTGGGCTGGAGTGTAGTGGCGGGAATCACTGCTCACTGCAGCCTTGACCTCCCAGTTTCAAGCAATCCTCCTACCTCAACCTCCCAAGTAGCTAAGACTACGGATGTGTGTCCATGCCCAGCTAATTTTTGTATTTTTTTGTAGAGATGGGGCTTCGCTATGTTGCCCAAGCTAGTCTCAAACTCCTGGGCTCAAGTGATCGTCCGACCTCAGCTTCTCAAAGTGTTGGGACTCCAGGCGTGAACCACTGTGCCTGGCCTGGGGACCAGGTACATTTTAAGTTTCCTTGGTGCTCAAAGAACCACTGTTCTCAGCCTAGGCAGCTTAGATTGCCTCTCTAGGCAACTGCCTCTTAGTTATAATTCTGTGTCCCCTCTGCATGAACATTGGACAATGAGGTCACAGTTCAACCCACTCCCCCCTTTGATTTCCCCCTTCCTAAGACTTCTCTTCTGCACATCTGGTGTGGTGAAAATTTGGTCTATGCCAGGCCCATTTCCTGCTTTTGTATAAGGAAGGAGCTCATGCAGGAAGTTTTTCTTGGGTTGGAGACAGGTTTCCCTGTAGGAAGATGATGGCTCATTTACACTCAGCTGCTCTGCAAGCAGAAACTTTACAACCTGATGTCAAATTCCATGTTGGACTGGGTGTGGTGGCTCATACCTGTAATCCCAGTACTTTGGGAGTCCGAGGGAGGCGGATCACTTGAGGTCAGGAGTCTGAGACCAGCTCCAAATTGGTGAAACCTTGTCACTACCAAAAAGACAAAAATTAGCCAGGCGTGGTGATGGGCACCTGTAATCTCTGCTACTCAGGAGACTGAGGCAGGAGAATCTCGATCCTGGGAGGTGGAAGCTGCTATGAGCCAAGATCAAACCACTGCACTCCAGCCTGGACAACGGAGTGAGATCTTGTCTCAAAAAAAAAAAAAAAAAAAAATTCCATGTTGGGGTTGGAACCTTTCAGGTGCCATTGACAGAACACCCAATTCGAATTGACTGAAGCAAAGAAGAGAATTTATTGCTGGTTCACATGGAAATCCAGGAATGGATAGCACCCGCTTTAGGCAAAGCTTGAATCAGGACTCGATCTACAGGGCAGCACCTTTCTCTTGGCTGGATTTCCTCAGGGCTGGCAGCTGTAGTGTAGACAGTCCCCACCTTGTCACTACTACTACAGTTTGTTTCTCTGGCCCAAGGGATGAGGAGAGAGGCTGCCCTAGAGACTGAAGCTGTTCTCAGGATCACTGGGCTTATTGGCCCGAGGAATATCTGACTTGCCTGAAGGGAATGGCTTTGTGTGGATGCCTTGATGCTTTCTTCATTCAGATTTTGAACATTTTTATGTACTTGAGCTTTTTTTTTTTTTTTTTTCTTTTTTTTTTTGAGACGGAAATTCCTTCTGTTTTTTTGTTTTTTCTATTGATAGAGGAACACTTTCTTTAATTCCTGGAACCCTATTTTGAATCCTCGAAGGTGTGCCCTCGTAGGGAGATCCAAAGTCCTATGATTGACGCCTTCATTTACAGATAAGGCAGCTGAGGCCTGGGGAAATGAACAACCTCACAGCCCTTGTTTACTGGATTTTATTTCAGCCAGGTGAACTGGAATGCCATGGAGAGTGGCAGGACATTAGGCATTTTTTTTGATATGTAAATGCTCATAAAAAATGTAAAGAATGAAGAAAAACAACTCTCAGCAGTGCCTGAATTTTTTTTTCTTTTTGAGATGCAGTTTCACTCTTGTTCAGGCTGGAATGCAATGGTGCGATCTCAGCTCCGCCTTCCAAGTTCAAGCAATTCTCCTGCCTCAGCCTCTTGAGTAGCTGAGATTACAGGCATGTGCCACCACGCCTGGCTAATTTTGTATTTTTAGTAGAGACAAGGTTTCTCCATGTTGGTCAGGCTATTTTTGAACTCCTGACCTCGGGTGATCTGCCTGCCTCAGCCTCCCAAAGTGCTGGGATTACAGGTGTGAGCCACTGTGTCCGGCCTATGGTGCCTGAATTTATAATTATTTATGTGAAAGCCAAATTTGTGTACAGTAAATTTGCTGTAAGAAATATTCATAAGAACACTGTTCTGGTGTCTCTGGTCAACACGTGGATTTGAATGTAACTTGACAGAGAGGAAATCTCTAATCCATATTGACGGAGAAGGAGCACCGTCATCTCAGACAAACACTGCCACTTTAAGTTGCAGTTCCCTTTCTAGCCTCATACATTTCAAGGAGATAACTTGTCTTCTAACAACAAGCAGCCAGAAAGAGAAGACAGTGAAACACAGATAAGACAGCCTGGACACAGGGAGGTGGGGGGCATGTCTCTTGGGTAACTGCCAAATTTCACCTTTACACAATGGGCCCCAGTAGAACAATGGGCTTTTATAAGCACATTCCTTTTCCTTCAGGTACACTAAGATGGGGAAGCTAAAAGCAGACTCAGGGAGGGGTGGGTATGCCTGCAGCTGCAGAAAGATGTATGGGAATAGACATACAACTCTGCCTCTCAGATAAGCACAACAAAGAGACACAGAAGCAGTCCAAGCCTCTGGTAAACCCTCCCACCCTAAATCCTTAAAAATTCTTTGTAAGAGAGTGGGCTCTGACCTAACTTGACCAGAAGCCCCTCTTAGGTTAATTTTCTCTAAAATAAACCTGTCCTTGAGTGTCAAGCCACCTTTCATGTTTCTTTTCTCTTTCTTTAATTCTTACACATGCATCAGGATGATGATCTCTCAAAACCATGTTCATAATAGTCCAGGGTAAAAGCTAGTGGCCACTGTCTTTGTCCAGGTGGCAGAACATAGCCTTTGACCATGTAATAGTCCTTCCCTGCAAGTGAAGGATGGTAAGGTACTAAGAGAAGAGCGAAGGATCTGGAGATCAAAGTCCTGCATTTCCATTTTGTCCTGTGGTTCCTTTGCTCAGAAACACTAACTAAATCAAACTAGCTGTTTTCGGCCTTATCTGTAAAGTAGAGAAAACATGAGCTGTTGGGAAGATGAAAAAGAATGTGTATGTGTGCATCTATTTAAATCTAACTGCGTGCTAAGGTACATATAAGGCCTTTAGGTGGTAGGGTCTTCTGGTTGTAACTGCCACAGAAATAGCAGGGCTTAAGTTCCTTTGTGTGTAATTCCAGCTGATTTTATTAGCAATAACTCAACACTAGCAATACCCCTGACATACTCTGAGTAAGACCTAATTCTTCCCTCACTAGTTCATGATGTCCACAGCAGCAGAAGGCCAGCTGTTGCTCTTAGCCAAGTTGAACAAAATGCTGTTGATAAAACCTCCTTCATCAGGAGCATTTGGGGTTTGATGTTTAAGTTTTGGGCCTCTGGTGTATATCATTTTTCTGTTTTGCTAGAACTTAATGTTTGTGCAAGGTTAAATTCTAGAATCAGGCAATGTTCTTTTTAGAGGCCTCCAGCAAACACTTTGTAGGTCCGTAAATATCTATAGCTGTGAGTCGTGGGTCTATCCAGACACCGGAGCATAGACATCCTTGGCTCATTCCTCAGAGGGAGGTGTGCACAGTTGGTAGAGTGTGCCCTCCAAGATTTTGTGAAGCACTAAGCTTGTTTATATTTGTGTGTGAATGTCTGTGTGAATTTTGAGTTCAGGAATAACAGGTGATTTGATCACAGCTATTTGACAGCGGCAATAGTCATTGTATGCTAAGACGTTTATGAAGGGAATAGGCAGATTGAGTGAGGTTCCTATATATTTTTCCTAGTTTTACTCACCTACAAAAGCTGTAATTAAATGTTTCTCTTTTTCCCCTTCTTTCTCTCTTTTATTAATTTTTTTTTTTTTTGAGATGAAGTCTTGCTCTCTCACCTAGGCTGGAGTGCAGTGGTGCGATCTTGGCTCATTGCAGCCTACCTGTGTCTCCTGGGTTCAGCGATTCTCCTGCCTCAGCCTTCTGAGTAGCTGGGATTACAGGCATGCACCACCATGCCTGGCTAATTTTCATATTTCCAGTTGAAATGGGGTTTTCCCATGTTGGCCAGGCTAGTCTCAAACTCCTGACCTCAAGTGAACTGCCCACTTTGGCTTCCCAAAGGAGTGAGCCATCATGCTTGGCCTCATTCATTATTTCATAAAAGTTTGGATACTGCCAAACAAAATTAAAGACATGAAAACATTTGATAAAGTGTTATTGCAAATGTTACTATAATTTAACTACTGGTGTTTATTTTTATTAGAGCCACAGCACCTACTTGCCTCTGCTGCAGGGACTCACAATGGTGGTGGGCAGGTTTGATATTACTGGGCTTACCCTTAGCAATGCATTCTATTCTACCTGTGCCCAGGCAGTGTTTAATATGTAAGCATCTGGTAAGCGTTAAATATATAAGCATCCACTATAAGCGTACCGGATGCTTATATATTTAACGCCGCCTGGGCACA